CCACTTCAGGAAATGTTACTGCAAATCACTTCTGATTTCCAGTTAAACATACCCCGATCCTGGGGGTTGGAAGACCCGAAATGTGAACCAGTTGGTTAGTCAGTCGTGCAACCAGTCAACTGGCCGCAGTCGCATGCTAGGTCGGCTGCGTCAAAGAGTGACCTCAACCCAGTTGGTTTAGTTGCAGGGTGGTCCCCCAGGGCTGAGGTAGCAGTATGACCGGCTGACACCCGAATGCAAGTAGTCAGAAATGGCCATTCCAATCTCCCTCCCTCGTACTTTTCGGTGATAATTCACAATTCTTGAATACACAGATCTGCGAATGTTCAAGACTAGGCGCCCGCAATCTGTCCGGCAAGCAGTGTAGATCGGGGACGCTTCTCCTGTCTGCTCACACTGAGGATCAAACTTCAACGGGTCCTCCATACTGGGACCTTTGGCAGGTTCGTATCATTTGAATGAGAGGTACAAATGTGTCGTGTGCGCCGACTTGGACTGATGTACCGCGATGACGCCTGTCCCCATTCTTCTGGACTTTATTTTGTCATTATCTGCGACTGTATGACGATGTATTCGAGCGAGAATCCGAAACGTCAGGCGATCGATTCTTATTTTTTCGTGATGTGGTTATTGTAAAAATAAAGGGTGGGAGAGACAAATTCTAACAAACAATAACAAGGGAACGAAGTTAACTGAGTCGATATAGCTAAACCAAAGAAGGTGCAGAACCGAATAAGATGATTTACAGGGCAGTCCTCAGCGCTGTCTCCAACTACCGCGCAACAAAATAAGATAACTCGACAAAAATTATAAGCATGAAGAAAAATCAACATGAGACGAGAGGAGTAAAAGCTCCCAAAACGTTTATGACTCATCGAAATTTCCTTAAAATAATAAATATCCGTCAAATGATAGGAAAAACTTACAGTACTGGCAAGAAGCGATCCACCGAACCATACGGCATAGCGTTGCATCTTGTGAGTGACGACTCTCACTTCGATGGGTTTGGGCTATCGGGAAAAAAGGAGCATAAGGGGTTAGCGAAACCAGATTATAATTTAACAAAAACTGGCTACTCACACATACAAAGTAGGCAGCCATGCATAGAAAATAAAGAGCGCATAGTCTACCTTGAAACCAGTCAAGGCCTCGTTAGCCTGCAAACGGGCGTCCACAATGTTTCGAATGTCCCGTTCAATACGACGGCCCAGGTTTTTGAACATTGAGCTACCACCGGACAGGACGATATTCTAGTCAAACGGTACGCAAAACAAAGGGCATTACAAGTTCACTCCAGAGACACACAAAACAATAAAAAAAGTAGTAAACTATGCGCTTTTGCTAAAAAAAAGAGTGTTATACTAAGACCAGAGTCAATTAACACCAATCACTGCCATATCTTGACTGTGAAACAAGTTGACGACAAGTAATATCCAAAGTGTACTCACGCCATAGAGGCCTCGACGGGCATCAATTGGTGACTTCTGAATGACCTCCTCAACCACAGTACTAACAGATTGTGTGTAATCAGGGTTCACAAACTACAGAGAGAGAGAGAGGGGGGGAAATAAGAAGAGGACTTATACAAAGACTTATTTTCGACCACAGTGACATTAGGAATGACTGTACCTCGGGGTGGAAAAACACCTCTGGGCCAAGGAATCTTTCGTAGCCAACATCTACAGTAACTGGGGGATATTTAGGATGCTTTGTGACGTCCTGAACTGTCAGCCATTTAGCCGGATCGTCG